AAAAAAAAAAAAAAAAACACTAGGTAATGGATTTAAATAGACCTTTTGCCAAAGAACACATACAAATGGCCAATAAGCACATGAAAAGTTGCCCAACATCACTAATCATTAGGGAACTGCAAATTAAAAACTATAATGAGACACCACCTCACACCCATTAGGATGACTATTATCAAAAAAACAGAAAAGAAGTGTTGGGAGGATGTAGAGAAATCCCAACCCTTGTGCACTGTTGGTGGGAATGTAAACTGGTGCTGCCAGTGTGGAAAACGATATGGAGGTTCCTCAAAAAAACTAAAAAACAGATCATGTCACCAAGCAATTCCACTTCTGGGTATGTAACCGAAAGAATCAGAAGCAGGGTCTCGAAGAGATATTTGTACTCCCATGTTCATGTGGCATTATTCACAACAGCTAAAACATGGAAGCAACCAAGGTGTCTGTCACTCTACCAATGAACAAATTACCAAAATGTGGTTTATACACACAATGGAATATTATCCAGCCTTAAAAAAGGAAAGAAATTCTGCAATATGGATGAACCCCGAGGACATCTGCTAAGTGAAATAAGCCAATCACAAAAAGACAAATACTGTACGATTTCACTTATATGAGGTGCTTAGAGACAAAATCATAGAGACAAAACATATAACAGTGGTAGCCAAAGGCTGTGGGGAGGGGAGAATGAGAATATGGGAAGTTAATGTTTAATAGGCACAGAGTTTCAGATTTACAAAATGAAAAGTGTTATAGGGATGGATGGTGGTGATGGCTGCACAACAATGTGAATGTACTAAGCAAGCCATAAGTTGGATAGGTAGCCACTGATGATAAAGATAAAGGGGGCATCTAACACCAGGGTGAGTGGAAGTCCTACTGTGGAAGACACTATCCACCCCCATGGACTCTAGCAGAAAAGTCAGTGATGTTGACCAACCCAGAGCAGACTCCCTTCCCACTGCAGCTGAGCCCCTGAATCCCCAACTCAAGTTCCCATCCGGTCTTGACCTACTGCCTTGGCAATGGCCTGGAGCCCTCTGGGAACTCTCACCTGCCCTTCACATACCCACAGACCTCAGGGAATTATGCCGATAACACAAAGCAGGACCCACCCTCTCCAACCCCCACCTCACCCCCGCACACCAGGGAGCCCAGAGGAGAGAAGCAGGGGCAGACAGGGAATTCAAAAGTAGCACCTACTCGGAAGCCATGAACAAGGCCTGAAGGATGCTGTTCACATAGCACGTGTTGCCCAGATTGATTAAACCAATCTTGCCAGTGTCTGACTTGGCCATGAGCCGGGGGTAGAAGCCAGCAAGCTCACTCTTCTGCGAAGTCCAGGCATCCTGCCCCAGCAGCTGCTTGATTCGGTCCTCATTGGGAACATGGAGGTCCTGAGGGGGAAACAAGCCAGCAGGACAGTGGGCACCAGGTTTAGCTCTAAAAATATCACCTCCTCTGGGAAGCCTTCTTGGACTACAGCCTACTACACACCTGCCCAAGCATATCACCCCAAACACGTCCTAGAGATGTGTGAGAACAGCTCCTTGCTTTCAAACATGTTCTAGGTTTTCATCTTGACGTGTGGGCCTTCTACATCATCTTTCATGCCACAGCTGCCTTAAGAAAGGGGTAAAATCCCCACCGTGTAGATGAAAAAACTAAGACCCAGATAGAGAAAGAATTTTCTTAGAGGCAATAAGCGAGCAATCTACTATATGTTACATGAGCCCAGGATGTGACAGACTGTAAGCAATGACAACACTGGCCCACTGGCCCGATCCAGCAGTGTCGAGATCTCAACCCTGGTCCTGACTCTTGTCCTCACAGCTCTCTGGCTGTGGTCAGTGAGCCTCTCTGACTCAGTCAGTTAACCTCCCTGGACCTCAGTTTGCTCATCTGTCAAGTGAGGACACTCCTACCTTATATCAGTTTGGCACTCTATACTTTCACGGTGCTTGCTCCTGTTTTCACCTCCTCTATTTTAAAGTTTGCGGAGTCAGCTTTTTCGAATTAGTAACCCCCTACCCCAACCCTGAACTTGATCCTACAGTCAGAACAGTAGGAGGATCCTGGGGGTCTGAGGTATGGGTCCTTGGCCACGGGCTCAGGGGTTAGCATGCTTTCCCACTTGTTATCCTTTTTCACATTAAACAGCTGCACTGAAAAGAATATTACCAAGCACTAGTTCTAATAATGACATGTCTTAAAGAAAAACACCTAAGCATAATGCAGTATTACTTAGTAGATTTAAGCGATATTCATGACAGTTCCTCTAGCCCCGTTCTCGTTTCCAGATCCTGAGCACAGTTCCTAGATTTGTCTAAGGCCCTTGAGCTTCAGACCAGCTTACACTGAAAGCCCTCGTCGTCGCTGCAGAAGGTCTGGCTCAAGCGGTGGTTTAACACGTCTGCTCACTCATTTCCCAGGATTGTTTATCAGATAATTTATCAGATTAGTCAGTCACCTCTCACAGATGATAAAAAATATAGTAGCTGTCTGAGGCAAGATAAGAAGGTAAGGGCTCAGTATCTTCTCTCTTAGTCCCTTCTTTTTTCTTCCTGTTATCCCCTATCCAATCCCCACCCCACACACAATGGGAACAAATAGGGACAAAAAGACAGAACCGGTATAAAATAGGTAACTAATAAGAACCTGCTGTATATATAAAAAAATAAAATTAAGAAAAAAAAGAATCAAAGCTAAAAAAAAAAAATGACAACCAACACCCCACCCCGCAACACAAGCACACAAGATACAAAAATATGCACACTAGAAAAAAAAAAAAATCAAATGCTTTTTCCCAAAGAAGGTAACTGTACTCTTAGGAGAATAAAGAGAATAAAACAAAAACTTTCAATTACCTTTCAAGCTCCTCATGTTACTGGAAGTCTACATACCATGTAGCTCCCTCAGCAAGGACCACAGCTCCCAGAGAAACTGCCATGACTTAGTACAACTGCCTGAGAGAACTTCCCAGAATTTATAAAGGAGACTGTACACAAAGGATGTACTCCTATAATACATATGAAAGAATTTTATAAACAATAAAACCCCATGAATACTTTGCTGCCTTGCCTCTCAAAGTGGCTTGAAGCAAGGGGTAGTCAAAGCCATAGGACAAATGTCACACATCTTCCTAGAGCTATATTCACTAATATTCAAGGGAGAAAAATGTTTAAATTAAAACAAGTGTTTATGATTATGAAGTATATACTTGAATCTTTGAGATAAAATGAGATTTTAGAGAAACTCTGAGCTTGTGTCAGGCTGCAGGAGGGTGAGTCCCCTCCTCTGAGGTCAAGCACTTCAGAAGAAATGTTTGAGAAGCCCAGATCTGCTGGACCAAGCAGTCACGCAGCCTGGTTTTCACCACCTTCCACTCTGCCAATCCTTCTGTTCTTCCCTCCCCTCCACCACACTTTACCACCAAAGAGTACCTGCACATTCCTGCTCCCACACCTTACCCACTGACCTGTCTGGGGGTCTCCTCCTGCCGGTCCCTGTCCCTCAAGGCCTAACTCCTATATCCCCTCTCCAGAAGACTTTCCAGAATCTTCTCAAGTGGGGGTCCCACACTATCTATACCTGTCTTATAGAGCCTAACTCCCTACACCTAGTTGTATAAGTATCTGCAGACTCACCTTGCCCACTGGATCAGACCATAGCCTCTAATGTGCAAAGCCTGGATCTCACTCAGCGTAGGTTTCCCCTGGTGCCCAGGGCAGGGCCATGCTCCCTCCTCTTTGTTCACATCTCCATGATACCACACTTCACACTACAGTCCTGTTCATTCACTCAGACATTTATTAGACACAGAGATCAAAATGACATGGTCCCTGCCCATCAGAAGCTCACAGTAACAGTCACTCCCAACAGGTTTAAGTCCTGTCTTCTCCGCTCAACCACCTCCAGTGCCAGGGGGCTCATGATCTAGCAAGGCAGCTACTTCTATGGTTAGTTAGCTCTGACTGCTTAAAAAAAAAAAAAAAAAAAAAAAAAACCACCTCTTCCTCACATTAAGTTGGAAAAACTAAGAAAATCCAAGTAAATGCCAGAGATTTTGTTTGTTGTATCTATCACCTCTTAGTCATGGTGGATTGTTCCCTTACGTGTTTTGTGATCTGGGGATTATAAGCTCATCTTTAGTAGAATTCTATCTTTGTGGCTTGAAAGCAGTTTCATTTCTGTTTCTATCAGGCAATCCTTGGGTATTACAAGTTTATGACTACTTTCAATGAGCTTAGGGTGCTACAACACCAAAGAAGATAAGAATTTGAACCCCTAAACCCACATGAGAGCAGTCCAACAATGACAATTTCTTTTATCCCAATCCAGAGCCCAGACCAAACCAGAGAGCCTTCCTTGATGTCTACTTGGAACCATGTGTATTTTTTCTAGAGCACCCTTTTGCTAATGGTAAAGCCTTTGTTGGGTCCTGATTTACATGGGCCTCTTAGTGCTGATTCCCTGCTGGGGGCAGACCCTAAGCCTCAACTCCTGTCCCCACCGGCTCAAGCCCCTTGGGGACTGAGGTTAGCCACCTCACCCACTGCCCCTCCCCACCCAAGGCAAAAGAGTATCACCTCTCATCTACCATTCTGGAATTTGGTTTTCTCTTCCTTTTTGGCCCCTGGGGATTCCCCCCCTGCTCTCTTGCAAGCTCAGCTATGTACTTAAAAAGACATCTATTACATTTTAACAAGCATTTCTTGGTGTTTTGTAATGGGACACTTCTCAGGTTACCTATCTGCTGTGTTACAGAAATGGAAGTCAGACCAGAGGTTCTAAAAGGGCCACCACTTACCTGGATGTATTTCACCCACACTTGGACCTGCCCACTGTATCAAGCAACCGGAAAGGGCTCAGCAACCCTCAGCCCTGGGTGCATCTCCCACTACCTCCGTGACTGCATAAGACACCAAACCTCTCCAAGTCTCATTTTCCTCATCTTTGAAACTGAAATAACAATAGTACCTGCCTCACAGGTTTCTAGTGAGCAACAGAAGACAAAATATATGGAAAGACACTGCCAAGTGTGACTCTAGCTACAAATGTTATTGTCCTAGCAACCCAGCAAGCCCGGTTCAGAAGCCCTTTCTTCCTTGCAGCCTCCTCCTCTAACTGGAGATCTTTCCCTCCTCTGCCGCCTCACCGCTCTCAGGCTGACCCTCACAGGCATTTCTTAAGCTGCTTAGATCACAGTTACGGGTAAACACGTCAGTCACCCCTCTACACTGTGAGCTCCTCAAAGGGAGGAGACATGGTCTGCCTCATGCCTGTGTCCCCAGTTCCCAGCCTGGGCCTGGCACGGAGCAGGGCATAAGTCTTGTGAACAAATGTAAACCATCTCTGCTCTGGAATGCTCAGTCTAAGAGGAGACAGACATACAGACAGTGACAATGTGTGACTGAGGGATACACTAGGGCTGTGGAAGCTCAGAGAGGCCATGACCCAGCTGAGGGGCAGAGTACGGGGGCGGGGGGGGGGCGGTGTAATTTAGAGTTATCAGGGAAGGCTTCCTGAGGGAGAAACACTTGAGCAGAACCTTCAAGAAGAAGGCTTGGTAGAAATAAGAGCTATTCAGGCAGAACAAGACAGGAGTTTAAGTTAGAGAGATCAGCATATGCGAAGGCTCAGAACAATCGAGAGAGGAAGATCCATCTGGGGGAATTGCAGGTGGCTCAGTATGCCTGAAGCACACGATGTGCTGGGAGAGGTAATGGGAGACAGCCAGGGACCAAAGGATAGAGGGCTGCCACTAACCTGTAGTGTGGCCTTGAGCAAAGCCCAAATTGGCACCCTCCTCAGAGTGGGGCGCGGGAGCAGTGGGGACTGTCACTCACCTTGATGGCCTCCATGACGGGTTCATACAGATCCGGGAAGCCCGGGAACCTGAACACCATGCAGTGGACCAGCTCCGCCAGCTGCTCCAGGCAGCTGGTCCCCGAGTTGGAGTCCTCCTTGACCAGAGAGGCCACCATTGGGGGGATGTGAGGGAGGAGCTGTGAGAACAGAGCAGGGTTAGTCAGCACCAGTTTACCCACCTGAGACATGGGATGGTGGTCAGTGCTGGAAGCACCCAGAGCTCCTTGAAGCAAGGAGGTTTGCCCACCTGACCACTGTGCCCCTTACCTGCATGGGGCTCTGAGCTCTGCAGGCAGGTGACTCTCTTTACAAGATACATGACCTTGGATACTCTTCCTCAGTCTCTTCATCTGTTTAATGGGACAAATAATTCCCTCCTCACAGCTAAGGGGAGGCCTGAGCCTGAGCCCCAGCTATTAAGTATCAGCCAACCAACCTGCCTGAAGCGCCTGAAGGTCTGAGTGACCAGGGCTATTCTGTCACCCAGGAGTGATGCTGGGGCCACAGTGTGGTCAGCTGGTGGCAGCTCTGACAGAACATGAGCGGCAGCAAACGTTTATATGTCAAGCACTCGCAGTGACATGTGGCATATACTATCCCCATCTTACAGAGAAGGAATTAAAGTTAGAGAGGTTACGTAATTTGCCAAGGATATCACCATGGGTTCTGGGAGAAGCTGGTGTCTGAGCCAGGTCTGTCTGAACTCAAAGTCCATCTCTTTCCTCTGTGCTACAGTGTTAACTTTCAAACCCACAGGGGAGCTACACCATAGTGTCCCAGGGATGGAAGAGTCAGGCCACAGAAACTGGGAGCAGGGGAGCTCGGGAGAAGGATGAAAAGAAATAAATATCTACCAAGTCCCTAGAATATGGCAGGCTCTTGATAAATGTCACCTCATCTAATACTGTCCCACCCAACCCAGGCCCTGAGAGGTAAGTGCCTGGCCCGAGGTCACCCCCATCTAGTAAATGACAGAGCTGGCACTCAACCCCACATAACCCCAATTCCTGGTTCTGTGCTTTTCCCACTGCACAAATCAGGAAGCATAAAGTTTCTGCAGTGACCAAGGACCATGAGAAGCTAGGAAGGACACTGGATCAGGAGTCGGACCAACTCAGCTGGAATCTTCCTTGTACCACTCACCAGCTGTTACCTGGGACATGCAACCTAATCTCCCTAAACTGCAATTTCTTCAGCTGAAAGATGGGGAAAATGATAGAACCTCCCTTTGGGGCTACTCCGGGAGTAAAATGAATGAACATGTGGACTGTCTTTAGCACTGTGCCTGCCACATAGCCGGCACCCAAGTAACACAGCTGCCACCATTTTAGGCCTGTCACTCTACTCGGGACCCATGGGGAGGTCACACCCATCCTTTGGCCTCAGTTTTCCATCTGTAAAATTGGGTCTCAAGTCTCCTCCAGTCCTAACGTCCAGGACTTGGAGGTCTTGGGCTTCAAGCCCCAACCCCTTAAGCTCCAACAAAGACAGCATGTCTGGCCTCCAGCCAGACCTGTGGAGGATGCAGGACCGCCCATCTTCGGGGCAACATGCAGGGGCCCTTACCAGGTGGAAGGCCTCATGGGAGTGCTGGAAGGTCAGGAGCATATACTTGAGGACAGACAAGGCAGCTCCCCGGACAATGGGATACAGAAGCTTGGAGAAAACCTGGAAGAAAGCCTCTGGTCAGGAGTCCCCCAGGCCTGGGCCACCCAAGGCCAAGGGTAGCCACAGGCCTGAAAGGGGGCCAGAGATGCCGGAGTTAAAGCAGCAGACCCATGTGGGAGTAAGAACACAGAGGTGCTCATAGACCTGGGTGGATGGATGGGTGGTGAGATGGACAGCAAAACAGTTCGCTATCTGATGGATGGATGGATGGATGGATGTACCAAAAGTGACAGACACACATACTTGAATGAAGAGTCAGAAGAATGAATAGGGGAAACCTGAAGCCCAGAGAGAAGCAGTGAATTGTCCCAGGTCACAGCGAGCTTGGGTGGGAGCCCCGTGCTCTGCCTCCCAGACCTGCACTGCCCCTGGCAAGAGACTAGTAGGAAAGGCCAGAAGCCGGGGCTAGGACAGGGGCCCACCAACCTTCTCAATTTTGGCGAGTGACACCTCGATCAAGATGCTGAACTTCTTAACAGCGGCCAGGCCCTTCAGCAGTGCAATGATCCACTTGTCAATGTTCTTCCCCAGGGGCCAGGACACCCAGTCGATCATCCTGGTGAGGGGAGTGACCGTGACACAAGGATCAGGGAGGCCCAAACGCCTGGGAGGGGGCAGCCCAGGGACCAGCCATAATGACCTGAGATCCCCCCACACTGACTCACACCTACACAGGGCAGCCCTGGGATCCGTGGGATGAACAGGACACCTCTGGGAACTGCAAATATGCCCAGCACAGGCACCTGGCAGAGACTGGGGCTCCCAGCCCGGCAGAAGGGGAACCAGGCCCTCTCAGTACCCGCAACCTCACCCCATACACAGCGAGTTGCAGCGGCAGAACAGGGCTTTTGGCTGCCTCTGTCTGGACTGTGAGGCCCAATGACAGGAGGAGTACTGCCCCCAGGCTGGAAGCTCTGGCTCCAGCAAACCCTTGCTTGTGACCTGGAGCAAGTCACTTACTCTCTCTAGCCTCAGTTTCTTCCTCTGTCAAATGGGGATAATACCTACCTCACAGGTTTGTTATAGGAGTTAAAAGAGATAACAACAGCTAACAGCTAACATTTATGTCATATTCACTCTGTACCAGGCACTGCTCCATCTGCCTTACATGTATTAACCCTTCTGACCCCCTCAAGATAATGCCTGCATGCACTGAGCATGAAGCTGCCACACAGTAGGTGCTCAGAAAAACGTCACTAGTATCATTATTTGTATATTCAGTAGACTGGGCTATAAAGAGAACAAGAGAGAGCAAAGCAAATAGTAGTAATTATGGTAATAATAGCTACCATTACACTGTTCTACGCACTTTACACGTAATATCTCATTTTATCTAATTCAATCCTCACAACAAACCTGTAAGATGAGTTCAATTATACTACAAATTATGGATGAGGAAGCTGAGGCATAGAGGGGTTGAGTAACTTGCCCAGAGTCACACAGGCAAGAAGTGGGAGAGCCAGGATTTGAACTCACGCAGCTTATCTCTAGAGCCTACACTTTTACCCACTGAAGACAAGGAATCCAGAAAGGCCCAATGGAGACAGTGGATCTGCACACAGGTATGGAAAGAATGGCAGGGGGGAGGGGGGATGCCAGGTAGATGGGGTCTGCAGAGCCAAAGGCCTGCAGGCAGGAGGGTAGGTGTCATAATCGGGGATCACTGGCCAGGCAGATATGGCTAGATCACAGGTGCAATGATGTTCAAATGAGCTGGGGGATGTGCAAGAGCTCTGTGAGCTGAAAAGCACCCAAACTCTGTTTATCATACTTGCCAAACTCAGAAAGCACTTCATTAAAGTAATTTTACCTCCTATCATTGACCCTGTGGAAACCTGACAACTTCTTATACCACCTCTGCTATTACAGAGGGGAGAACTGAAGCTCAGAGAGTTCACTGACTTGTCCAGGGTCACAGAGTTGGTACCCAGCCTGAGAGCATCACTAGGGCAAGGCTCTCTGTGTCTTACACACCCAGCCTGGGGCCAGGCACAGGAAGGGCTCAAAGAAGGATGGATGAATGAACAAGCATGAGGGCCTGGGCCCTCTGACACTCTATCTAGCCCGGCAATCCCACCCAGTGGAAGGGGCTTCTGGGAGAGAGAGAGACCTGACCACCACTTGTCCCTCAGCCCACCTGCCGATGGCAGTCAGCATCTGGGAGTCGGTCACACTGTCATCATTGCTGAGGTTCCGGACGACACCATCCATGAGCTCCAATGGGAGGTGCTGGACCACACTGGCCAGGGCGCTAGATGGTGGCTCCTCCTCTGGAACAGGTGCCTGGGCTGAGCTTTGCAGGACAAGTGGACCCCACACCTCCCCTATCACCCCATGTCCTTCATGCTGCCAAGGAACTAGGGAGCCTCTGCAAAGAGCACATCAGGGCCACCTCCTTGCCTCCTATAGCATCCCAGCCTCTGATCTCATCTTAGCTCATTCACTCAACAAACCTTCACTGGCACTGCTTTGGCCCTGTGCTGGGCAAAGAAAAAAGCGCTAACCCCCAGCTGTGCATGTGTAGGCAAGACCCTTAGATGGGGTAACACTGGAGCTGGCAAGAACAGGTAGGAGGGCTATGTGACTTGGCGGGAGGGAGGACATTCCAGGTGGAACCCAACAGAGATAAAAAAAAATTTTAGTTATCGGTCTTCCCTGGTGGCGCAGTGGTTGAGAGTCCGCCTGCCAATGCAGGGGACGCGGGTTCGTGCCCTGGTCTGGGAAGATCCCACATGCCGCGGAGCGGCTGGGTCCGTGAGCCATGGCCGCTGAGCCTGCGCGTCCGGAGCCTGTGCTCCACAACGGGAGAGGCCACAACAGTGAGAGGCCCGCGTACCGCAAAAAAAAAAAAAAAAAATTTAGTTATCAAAATTTGTTGTCCAGTTGTATAAAGACCTAGGTCCTTATACACCTGGCCTTGGTCCTTCCTCCTGCCAGGTACATTCCCTTCCTTTCCCCTGAACAGCCCTATAATCAGGGAAGGCACAGATTTTATTTCAGTCACTTAAACTACAGTCCAATTTCCACAGTTGTCAACGGAGGGCCAAGATTTACAATTCAGTTGACACACATAGGTTCTATCATGTCTCCAGACCTTCCCCTCTGCCTTCCCTGAGTACCTTATCCCTGCTGCCTGGTGCTACCCAGCTCTCAAGGCCTGACTCAAAAGTCATCACTTCTACGAAACCCACCTGACCCAAAGGACATGATGACCACCCCACATCTTGTTGTCTCAGCCCCCTGGTCCTCCTCCAGGCCCAACTGATCTGGGTCCCCTCCTCTCTGCATGCCCAGCAGGCACCACTGGATAGGAGCCCCCCACCCGGCAGGAGCTCAGGAGGGGCCTGCTAACTAAACGAAGTAACAGCACCCGCCCCCACACACATACACACCTGTGCACCAGCATGCACACGCCACACCACGAGGTGGGCACGCCACACAGGAGACTCTGCACGCACAGGTCCCGCCCGCCCCTATCGCACACGCACCTGTGCAGGAGATGACGGCGAACAGCTCCTTGAGGCAGGGCAGGATGGCGGCGGGCTGCGCGCGCCACAGCTGCGCCAGGAGCCCGCTCACCTGCTGGGCCTGCTCCAGGAACTCCACGGCGCCCTCCTCGCCGTCGGCCGGGCAGCGGAAGCGGCCGAGGCAGCGCACAAGCTGCTGGCAGAAGAGCAGGCGGTGAGGGCCGTCGGGGATGCAGCGCGGGTGCCGCGCCAGCAGCCGCGCCACCTGCGCACAGGCCACAGGCCCCGGGCGCTCGCACACGGTGCGCAGCACCTCGCGCCGCAGCACCGCGAACACCTCATCGGCCGAGGGCCCCTCGGGCAACAACTGCAGGCCGAGCTGCACGCAGGCCAGCGCGCGGGCGCCCGGCGGCCCAGCGCCCCCCTGCAGCAGGCGCAGCACGCGGCGCGCGCTGAAAAATTCGGCGAAGACTTCTGGGTGGTGGCGGCCGGCCACGTGTAGCAGCTGGCAGCCCACGCGGCGGGGCAGCTCATCGGCACTGCTCACGTAGAGGCGCGTGCCCAGCGCCAGCAGCGCCAGGCACTGCTCCCGCTCCAGCGGCTGCCGCGCCGCCTCCAGCACTCGGCGCACCAGCCCTTGCTTCACGCTCGCGGGGTATGATGACGTCACCACCGCCTCCAAGATCTTGTCCATGGCGGTCACGCTGCAGGGGACAGGGAGCAGGGTCACACTCTGCCCGACAGGACCGATCCCCCACGTGGTCCCCTGCGTGCTGAGGCTTGGGGGCGAGCAGCTCAACCTCTCTGGGCCTCAGTTCCCCATCTGTGAAATGGGGCAAGGATACCTACCTCCCCCGGAGGTGACGTGATGAGGAGAAGCACAATGCCTGGCATATAATAAGCCCCAGTGGGTTGTAGTTATTGCCGATGAGCGCCTTTCATCTCACAAAGCCAACACCTGAGCCTTCCCCCTCCTCCACCCCTTTGCCCCCCTCTCTCCTCAGGCCTCCCTGGGGACCTCCATCGGTTCTTGGCGAGGCAGGTAAGAGCTGGATCTAGAAGCTGCTGTCCACGGTCTTGGCCAAGCCATGTCCTGTGGGGAGATGAGCTGTGCACATACACAAATCACACCTCCAGAAAGGAAGGGCTGACAGGGCTTCCAGAGATCCCTGGTGCACTTTATTCTGCCCCCAATCAGCTTCTTGCTCTTTCTCAAATGACCTACCCTTTTCCTCTTTGTGTTCGTTGTGCCTTTTGCCTGAAACATCCTATCTCCCAAGACCTCCACCACTAACACACATTCATACAACCAGGCAAAGTCCTACTTTCCTTTAAAGCCCACTTCAAACACCCAATCCTTAATGAGAACCTCCCTGGACTTCCAGGCATGAATTCATCCCTCATCTGGACTCCTACAACCACCTGTGGCCTCTTCCTCTGTTGCAGCTGGGATCACATAGTGCGGAGTTGTACGGGTCCCAATCTCCTCCACTAAGGCAGATCATCTCAACTCTGTGCTCAACCCTGCACAGGCAGGCCCTGTCGCCTCCCAAGCCTCAGCCCACACCAGCCCTTCACTGTGGGCTCACTGTGTCCTCCCTGCCCCGGGCTTCTGCACTTGCTTTTCCCTCCCCTCCTTGCTTGGCTCACCCTGTAGAGCTCAGCTCAAAGTTCTTCCACACAGAAGGCCTGTCTGACCTCCTTGTATGGGTCAAACGCCCCTGTTAACAATTTCAGAGCATCCTGTCCTCCTTTATAGCACTTATCATGATTACTTGACTGGGGTCATCCTCCTCCACTATACTATATAGGTTCCTGAGGGCAGGAACCAAGTCAGGTTTTGTTCACCACAGTATCCCCAGCACCTCGCACAGTGCCTGGCACACAGTAGGCATCTGTTGAATAAGCAAATGCAGAGTGTGGTGTGAGTTACTGCTACCTTATTCCTCTGAGCCAGAATATACTTCCCTCTGTCCTTCCACTCCATTTTAGCTGTTTTCTGGAAAACTTCATCCCAAGCTGACCCACTTTGATTCCTGATTCTCATGCTGGTTCCCACAGGTTCAGCTCCTAAAAGGCAGGACCACTTCTTTGCTTCTTTGTATAATCCCACACTAGGCAGGACCCAATATAAGGTTCAGTATACGCTAAGTGTTTAATTAAACTTATTGTCTCAGTGAAAACTACTCTACTGTTAAGACCTGGAATAGGTGTGAGGACAAGCCAGAAATTTCCTAGATGATGGGCCGGAAACTTTTATGCAAAACCATAGATACTGTGGGACCCCAAATATGTGCCAGGCCCTATGGAGACGCTCCCTTCTCCGTACTAGCTCTCCACCGAGACCAAACCTCCATTACTGCATGTGTTACAATGCAATGGGCACATTTGTTTCTCTCTCTCTCACCAGGCTGTGAGCTCCTTGGGGCAGGGACCAGGCTTATTTTTCAATGGCTGGCCAGTCACTGCAGAGTAAGGTTAGACGGTGTAGCCAGGGCACAGGTCAGTGGTTCCTGAATGCTGGTCTGGTTGCCTCAGAATCACCTGAGCACTTAATACAAGTTCATATGCCCAGGGCCCACCCCAAGCTTGGAATGGTGTTAGACTCTATTCTTTGAGATTCAACCGGGATGCATTCTGCTTACCATCCAGCTTACTTATGCTCTCTGAGCCTCTATTTCCAACCTGCAGGGCTGATGTGAAGACAAATATAAAGGTTGGGCACAAGGAAGTGCTCAGAAAGTGTCAGTCCCCTTTGCTTTAGAAGCAAAGTCCTTGCTCTTAGGAGCTCCCAGTTAGTCCAGTGGTGGAGACAGACACATTGGTAAAGAGTGCCGAAACAAGGCATACTCCCAAAAGGTCTTTAAAAGTGTCTTTAAAAATGGGTCTGCCTTCAGCCCTGGTCCCCTCTTTCCTGGGCAGTCCCTTGCAGACCATCCTCCAAACCCCTACCCTGCCCTGCAGGCTAGTGGACTTAATATGCTTTCAACCCAGGATGCCAAGAAACCCTGGTACTCAGGCAACCAAGGAGAAATCCTAATCGATGAGATATTGACATCATGTGTGGAGGAAGAGGACCTGGGGGCAGGCAGAAATGGAGTTCTGGGGCTAAGGAAGGCTCTGGAAGTGGAAAGAAAATCAGACTAAGAATGAGGAGTCCTGCATTCTAGTGTGACCCGGAGTAAATCCCATTTAGTCCTGCAACACATTGTGTGACCTTGAGCACATAATATCATGAGCCTCTTTTCTGTAAAATGGGGATAAATGGTATCAGCCTGAACCACATCAAAGTGAGGGATCAGATGCTGGCTATCTCCTATCATTCTACCTGATACCTATCACATAAGGTGGTCTGTGCCTGGCAGCTGGGAGCTTGGTCAGTGGAGCCATTCTGTGAGGGCTCTGATCTCCGAGGCCAGCCCTGCAGCCTCTGTGCCGTCTGTGGCCTGACCACTCCAGCAAGCCCTGCCTATCTGTCCCCACTCCCACGCAAGCAGTTTGAGGTCAGCTGTCACCATGGTCACCAACAAACCCACTCAGTAATATCCTGGATGCATTCATGCAAAGGGGTTTGTAGAGGAGCGGACCTCACCTGACCCATCCCAGGCCACGGAAGGGAGGCAGAACAATGCCTGCTCTCCCCACGGCATGGATGGGGAAGCCGAGGATCAACAAGGGAGAAAGACACGGCCTTGGCAGGGTGGGACTAGAACCTGCACTCATCCTCTCTAGGGGAGGAAGAAGCAGACCCCCAGCGCTCCTCGGGGAGGGTGGGTTACCCTTCCTTCTAGGCTCTGGATGAGGATATGGCCTGTCAACACTGGCTCTGACCCAAGAGACAGCTGCCCCATGCCAAGTGCAGCAGCAAACAGCAGCCATGTCCTCCCTCAGAAGAGCCTGCGTTAAAGCAGGAGACTAAGGTTCTCTGCTTTCAGAATCACCAGGTGACCTTGGGTGAGTCCCTGCTAGGATTCCTCAGCCTTCTCATCTGGAAAACAGGGACCATTCTGAGCCTACCACTGATGAGGGTGAGACAAGGTATAAAAAAGATAAGGGCAGGGAGTTCCCTGGTGGTCTAGTGGTTAAGACTCGGGGCTTTCACTGCCATGGCCCAGGTTTAATCCCTGGTTGGGGAACTGAGATCCCTCAAGACACAAGGTCGTGGCCAAAAAAAAAAAAAAAAAAAAAAAAAAAAAAAAAAAAAAAAAAAAAAAAAAAAAAAAAAAAAAAAAAAAAAAAAAAAAAAAAAAAAAAAAAAAAAAAAAAAAAAAAAAAAAAAAAAAAAAAAAAAAAAAAAAAAAAAAAAAAAAAAAAAAAAAAAAAAAAAAAAAAAAAAAAAAAAAAAAAAAAAAAAAAAAAAAAAAAAAAAAAAAAAAAAAAAAAAAAAAAAAAAAAAAAAAAAAAAAAAAAAAAAAAAAAAAAAAAAAAAAAAAAAAAAAAAAAAAAAAAAAAAAAAAAAAAAAAAAAAAAAAAAAAAAAGATAAGGGCCGGATAATAGATAAGAATAGGTAAGAGTCTATTCTTGGGACATCTGGCACTGAGAGGCAAAACCGACACAGTCAGGGAAGAAGACGAGCAGACACATACTCCTGATCCAGCTGATTCTACAAGGGATTTCATCCATTAGCCCTCGAGGCCAACTCATCATTTCCACTCTCTCCCCTGAGCTCCAGCCCCACCCAAGATCAGCTCCTCTTTACCTCTGGCCTGGACTAGCGCAGAAGCCTCTTAACCAATCTCCTTTTTCCCCTCCTCAATCCATCCTCCACTAGAGACATGTGTCCTGCAGGAGTGCAGAGTCCAGGCTTCAAATCTAGTCCAGCCACTACCCCCACTGTGGCCACAACCATCAATGCTGGTGTTTTTCCACCTCTCAGAGCCTCTGAACCCCAGAATGGGAGATGATCACCTGCCCACCCCTTAGCCTTTCCCAGCCAGTGCTGCGGCTCCTTCCCACACCCTTGGCTTATATCTCTCACTGCTGACACGACAGCCTGGGAATCCCAGCAACACCCAGCCCGCTCCAGGATGCACAGTTAGCACACAAGAAAATCATGATCCCTCCCCTGGAAGGCTCAGATCCCTTTAACTGTCCCTCTCAAATGACCCTCCACCTTTCCATTGTATATTGACAGGTCTCTGTTCCTGCATAGTAGAGCCTGACTATATTCAATCTCCATCACCCATCACCCCCAAACCACCGTGTGTGTGTGTGTGTGTGTGTGTGTGTGTGTGTGTGTGTGTGAACAGCTCCAATGTCCTGCCTCACTCCCTCCCTAGGCCCCAGCTCAGACTTCCCCATCCCTCCCTGGTCTTTCCGACACACCCTGCAAATATCATCAGATTACCTCATTAGACAATAAACTCCATCCTGCCATGCCCCTGCTCAGAACCCTCAAGGCCCCCCAGCCCCTTCAGGATAAGGTCCAAATTCCCGAGCCTGACATTCAAGTCCTTTCTGTGACACTAAACTAATAAAGGGGCAGGGTGGGAGATGAACTTGACAAACTCCACTTAGTGGTGAATCTACAGGAATTTGAGCAGTGGGCTTTTTCCTGCTCAACACTTTGGTGAAGTTTTCTCTGCTGAGAAAGGGCTTCTTCCTCTTCTCTCCTGGCAAATTCTGACTCATCGTTCAATACCCAGGTCACATGCCCCCTCCTCTGGGAAGCCTTTCCAAATCCCCCTGCAACTCAATCTTTGGGCTTTGGCTTCCAAAGGACCTCTTCGCTTCTCTCATCCCTGGGCAGTGTAACTGGACTGATTATATGCCCATCTCCCCCACCAGGCCGGGATCTCCTTTGGTAGGAAGTAGGTCCGGTCCCCCATCTGTGCCCAGTGCCCAGCACAGGACCAGGCACAGAGGTGAAGGAGTGCCAAGTGACCGAGAGACATGTGACAGCAAGATGAGATAGAACCAAGGATATGATCAGAAAAGCACCTTCCAGGGACTGGCCTAACCCTTGGTCTGGTCACTGCCCCCTCATCTGCCCAGATCTGGTCTTGCATATCCATCACCCTGAGAATCTTAAACATCAGCCAAGAAAGCCCCTACAGAGGTCACTGGATGGGCTATTCTAGAAATGACTCAAACAACCAAAGCCGAAGAAAAAGAAAACAACAAACAAACAAACCTGTTCCTGGTAACCCTCAGGTCAAAAGTTCACAGAATTTCATGGGACAGGGGAGGGGGCTTCAAGGGCTCACTCAATCTCTCCACACCCCAGAGCACAGCAGCCCCTCCAAGCCCCAGCAATGAGGACCCCATTTCCTTTCCTCTCTGACCCTCACGCCCAGTCTCCCTCCTTTGACTCCCCTGGGTGCTGGAGCTGCCTGGCTGCCTGGGATGGGCAGGGGGTGGGGGGAGCACCAGGCTGTGCCTCCTGACACCCATTAGTCCCTCCATCCCTCGTCCCCCAGGTCTCTAGTCAGCAGCATTTCTCTCTGTATTTTTTAACTGAACTTCTACCCAAGGCAGTCCCGGGAAGGATCCCCTCGCCATACTACTGGGAGGCACTCCTCTGGGCCAAACTGTCGCAAGAAAAAAAAAAAAAAAAAAAAAAGGGGGGGGGGGGG